ATAACGGTTATATAAAGGCAACTCGCACATGATACACATATTGCCAAAATTTAGTCGAAAATATCAACAACGAGCTAATCCAAACACAATTTTAAATACAAGCAACTTGACCTATTTTTGATGAAAAATATTGACTTAAAAATTATCTGTTTTTAGTGTTATATCTTCCAAGTGTTTATTAACAGTTGTCTACGCAAAATACGTCGGATCCGTTGGCCAGACACTATAATCAACAACCTACAGTGCGAGAAAACAAACCAGATTCCAGTGGTGAAAGAAATTAGGAAGATGCTCTGGAAGTGGATAAGATACACATTAATGAAAGCACTCAACTGCGTCACAAGGCAAGCCCTCACTTGGAATCCTCAAGGTCAAAGGAGAAGAGGAAGACCAAAGAACGCATTACTCCGAGAAATGGAGACAGATATGAGAAGGATGAACAACAATTGGATAGAAGCAGAAAGGAAGGCTGAGGATAGAGTGGGTTGGAGAATGCTGGTCGGCGGCCTATGGTCCATCGGGGGTAACAGGCGTATGTAAGTAAGTGTCATATGATATTAGTAGTCGTTTTGTTATTCGCTTCAACGATACCAAATAGAGAGCTTCAAAATATGACTTTTATAAATCTACCAAATAATTCAACTTCATGCATTGTTAATCTGATTATTTACTTCATGTCAATTATCTTAAGTTTAGTGGTTATTCACCTGTTACCATGAGAAAACAGAGTATACAACTCTTAGTTATATAACTGAATGACTCGTAGAACTGTAATCACCATCTCTGATAGGTAAGTTGAAAGCATTGTTTGACTGTTTTGTTTGCTAACTTCAAACAATTTTCTACTAACTAAATAAATAAATGGTTTAGACAATGAATAATTTACTGCTATTACTATACGGAGTTTGTGGAGGTTGTAGTTTATATTAAGGACTAATCACAGACAACCATTTAAAACTAAGAGGTGCTCAATTGCTATTCAGTTCCATTATGATAATGTGCAGCGAGCACCTATGACCCAATCAAGGATCAAGCCCGTGGACCCTCAGGTCTCAAGATGAATGAGGACCCAATATCTATAGAAAATTCCAAGAGTTCTAATAAGAAAGTGTGACAAACAGAGTTCATTATAATTGAGGTTGGAAATGTAAACTATTGAACACTATCTCAGCGGTCTAAGATTCAAGCACTCACCGCAACCCCTGAAATTCCTCAATTCGACTCTTTAATGGCTTCGTCGATGTTTACTGATGAGGATCACACTAGGAAGAAATAGCCTACTGGTTCCTTTTGGTTTTCATTAGTTTTGCAGGCTCGTAACATAAAATATGAAATTGACTACTGGTTCAAAATCATAGCTATGAATGCGCTTTACACATTTCATAGTATTGGGCAATATAAGTAATATATATGAAATGTAATATAACTGTAGACCTTCTCTTTTCATGAATATATTTATCAATTCATTTAAACAACAGCTGTGAAACTCTAAACATTATCTTTAGTTGTTTAATCCTCAAGCCAAATGGAACCAACTTGGCATACATGAATCAATCAATTGGAATCCTGTTGTAAATCTACGACTGGTATCGTTATATGAATCACGTCTGTTTTCCCAGTAATCAAACACAGAACATTTTGCTCGTGTCAACTAACATGTAACTATCGTTACCACTGAATTAATAACCAAAAATACAGATTCACAATTGATCTCTTTTGGAAATAAGCCACTAACGAAAAACATTATTATTATTATTATTACGTTCACAAAGACAAAACCTTTAAGAGGATCGTTCCATTTGAAGGTTCTAGATTTAACTCTTAAAAGAAACACGGGTAGTCATTTATGAGAGGTACAATACTAGAATGAAATATTTGTCTGATGGCTAGCTTTCAAGTGTCTAACTAAAACTAAACCCCAATGTAAGCTATTATTAAACTGTAGGTATCAATACCAAAGTTCGACTTGATGGTTTCAAATGAAATGAGCATTGGTTAAAAAGTTAGCTATAAATATAATTTTTATGATATCCAAATGAATAGAAAATTGTATTTTTGGCGTTTCTTGACTTAGTGTAGATCACTTCTTCAGAGCATTTATATAGTCTGAAGAAGTGATCTACACTAAGTTACGAAACGTCAGAAATAGAACCATTTTATCATCCGGTTGTCAAGAAAATTATTATTATTACTATTATTATTACTACTGTTATTAAAATGAGCAACTCCTATAAACATCCCATCTTAATGATGTATTCATTATTTGAAAAATGTCAAGTAACACAATCGTTTACCAAGTTGTTTACAAAGTCTAAATTACGTCATATATATGTAATTAAAAAATAGCAGTAAGATACTAAAATATATTCAATTAAAAGGTAAGTGTACTTCCTTCCCATTTGCATGTTATATGCTTTACAGATGAACTGGATAGTTAAATTCTTGTGGCAAAATGAATTGAATAAATAATTTTTAAAAATCATATATTTCTTCTGTATGCTGTGATGCCAATGACTTTCTCTTTCATTTGCATAAACAAAAAGTTACCCAACTGTAATTGACCGTCTTTAAGTACTTGAAATTATTTAGTATGGAATGATTAGTAGAGTTACATTTTGAATGAAATAATATTTTATTGAGATCGTGAACTAATCTAAACTATATAACCATCGAGGACATGGAAGAACTGCATGGTCGTTTCATTCTAGTATGGGACTGATTAGCAGTGTACGTCCATGACCTAGCAACGGGGAATCGAATTCAGGAATTTCAGTCTACAGGGTGAACGCTTAACCTACGGACGACTGATCCGGTATCTAATAGTGCACAAGTCTGACTTCAGTCAATCCTCAATATTGTAGGACCATCCTCAAATGAGAAACCGTGAGCAGTGGTTGACTAATAAATTGAAAACTTCTCACTACATAGTTTTAATAATTTTTGATTATTGTTATTTTGATATTTATTTTTAAAAAGTTTTCAACTTTCTTCCCATTATGAAACACCGATCCAATACTTTATTATTATTATTGTCACAAATAGCACACCAATCGTCGTGCTATCCCATTGGTATTTTTTACCTAATATATTTAGTTATGTAATCTATTCCGCTGTTATCATTGATTCATAAACTGCCTTGAATGATTTAACATATGTATGCAATATAAATATTATTTTAGAGTAAAACCCTATAAAGATCTCATTGAAAATGATATTATTCGCTAACATGTATCATTCTATTTTACAATATGGGAATTTCAATATTTTCATAAACTACTTATATCTGACATGTTCAATCAGTAGGTTAGTAATCCTTTTTGGTTGATCACAAGATGGTGATCAATGTCATGAGTGTCGGGTTCTACTTAGTGACAAACAGCACAAAACCTGGGTCCAGGGTTTCCTGCCGTCTAACCCCAACCACCATCTTAATCGTTTTTGTCTTTTGAGATATAAAACTATAATGACTGTGAAAATTTTAAATTAAACCATTGCAATCAAATCATTCATTGTATCAATCTATCATGTGATTATAACGAAACTATATATTTTATAAACTTAATAGTGAGAAATAACTAAAAGAAACATGAATAGAAACTAATAAATAAATGAATTTATTGGTTTAAGGATTTTATGAAGATTGTTGAGTTGCATAGCTTACATCACACAAACTAATTTTAGTCAGCCAACTATTTATTGAAACTAGAAATGTCAACTATTGTTTTATAATAATTAAACATCTACTATGAGACTTTTGAAGTACCTGGAATCAGTCACCGATGAGGTCATGGATGTGAACTCATGAAAAAATCTCATAATACTAATTATCGAATTGATCAATGATGATTAGTTTTCAATAGTTATTTAACTAAAGTTAGTCTGTGATGTGAAACGATGGGAAAATAAATGAGCATTAAATGTACTAGGTTGTCTTTGAGAGTATCATAGTAAAGTCGATATGGTTCTTTCCAATAATAAGCAATATTTTATGTAATATGAAGAAAAAAACAATTAAATAATTTAGAAATATGTATATATAACAAAACATCTAATCATATATAATTAGCTATCAGTCAATCTGATCTCTAAATGCTAGAGTTTAATTTTACGTCACTACCGGACTTCTACAAGTAAATTGCACAGAATAATAATGTTAATCAACTCTGTAGACTATGAGAGATGAATTACTATGAAACCTATCTCATTAAGATGTAGATCGCCTCCCAAATGCCCTGGTACGGCTGAGAGTGAAGAGAGTTCGCTCTCCCTCTCGAAATGCTCTCACATGGCCACGCGTATACAACCACTGTCAGGGAAGTCCCACTCACCAACTTCCCTCGGCAGGGGCGTTGTTTACGAAATTCAGAGGACAAAAACCGAATGTCCGCCACTTTAAACGGGTCGGTCGACGCGGAAGGTCCACCTAGGAGAGATGGAAAACCCTCATTCCAAATCGTTAGTGCACACGGGCTCCAGTATCCTGAGGCAACAAATGGTGTATGGACTAATTGTTAGTCACCGGCTAACATGGGACTGAATCTCCTTACGTTGCTCCACTGTCTTATGGGTCAGACCTTGAGATCGAAGTCTCTGGGTGTGGCCCCCTAAGAAAACCGCTTGCTTCGGTTTGAGCACCCGAACAGTATCCTACCCCTCACACAAACCGAATGATTTATGTGGCGCATATCTATTTAGTGCATCCTTGTACCAATGTTTATGGGTTTAAGTAAATAAAATAAGAAACTAAATAAGAAACAGATCGAACGTATATATATATTCAACTTAAAATGTACAGAATGTATGTATTCAATCTTAAGTCTCGTGTTTTTCTGCATGAGAACTAAGGACACTATATCTCTAACCAAACTCAAGTAGATGAACTAGTGTAAAGCATTGTTCTATCAAAACAACCAATAATGAATTCTAATAATAACAATTGAATATAATCAGAGAAAAAGAAATTTTAGTAAACAATTCTTATTACTCAATCCAATACTTACCTTGTTTTTTAAATGTTCTACGAAATTGTACACGTGAGAACATGATCTTTATTGATTTAATTCCACACAATAATCACCAAGTAATTCTAATAATATTGATGATGATAATAATAATAATTATTATTATAGTATTGATCACAATTCTATGAAATATGATAATCGATTATAATATATAGATAAATGGTATTGATTTTTCTGAGTATTCATTGTCAGTATCATCGTTGGTATCATCTTCATCATCATGAGGGTTATTATTGACATGATTGGTTTAACATGGTAACTAAATAATTCATTAAAAAATTTTATTCCATTGTGTAAAATATTAAATGAACTTATTTGTTTCCAAATTATATTCACGTTCTGTACTACTGATAATAATAATAATAATAATAATAATAATAACAATAATAATAATAATAATAATAATAGTAGTGAGGGGTATCCTTTGACACACTGTTTATAACTATCCTTTTATGTAATAATATAATATAATATAATGTACATATTTTGTATTTTATAGGTGTATCATTTAAATATCCATTGAGGAAATTCTATTACAAAAATAGAAAGAAAAAAGTTTCTTTTTAGAAAATTGAAAAATAAATAAATAAATAAAGGAAATACATTTCTCTATCTTAATGTATTGCTTAAATTACTATCTTATATATATCTATGCAGTGGATTTGAAGCAAACAGGTATATATATATATATATATATATATATGTACATTTACATGTTCATGTATATAGTAAATAACTTCTTGATTAAAACAATTGTGTGATTCGTTCAATCATAACGTTTGTTACTTATTTACTTAGTTACTTAGTTAGTCAGTTGGGAAATGTCAATTTACTTTCTGTTATTTTCTGCACATTTAAAGCAATACATCTATCCAGATATTTACATGTATATGTCTGTAAATATATGGATATATATATATATATATGTTTGTATGTATTAGTATCCGTGTACTTGTAGACATACAACATCACTGTTTCTTCCTTGATTCCTTTTTTTTATTTTTCAATTTCTTCCATCGTTTATAAAGCAGATCATTGTACTAAAGGACTATTGTGCGATACATACATTCTATGTGTAGTCCAATGTATATAAACGAACAACAACTAGACTGGACATATATTACATACTTTTATACAAAAACAGCCTATATATATCGATCATTGAACCCATAATGGTTACTGCACTATGAAAACTACCAAGTGTGTGGGTGGATTGTTTTTTAGCGAGAGAGAAAAGCGCACGAGAAACACGTCGTGTGATTATGTGTAGTTGGACAGTAATTTTGACAGACAAAATGGAACAAATGTCGCAGTCTATGTACGTTGATAATGATGATGACGGTGCTAATATTAATAGTTGAAATGGTAAATAAAAAGAGGTTAGGGATTAAGATTTGTAAACATATGTTTCTTTACTTTTAAAAAAATAAACAAAACCTAATGAATAAGTTCACTTGGTATTGTTTACTTGAATCTTCCCATTGATGTTTAAGAATGCAATTGATCAGTCTCTTAATAATATATGTGCATCCTATGTGAATCGCCTCGATATTGCCTTAATTCACAAGCATTCTAAGCAAAGATGAATGGTGGCTACCAGTGGAATCCAGAACGCGCGTGTCATCCTGCTGAGTTCGAGTCCCGGAGTGAACATGAACTCTGCGATGCAGGTACATCCAGCTGACGAGTCCCAAATAGGATGAAGCGCGCGTCTTGGATTCCACTGCTGGTCACTATCCATCTTTGCTTCTAATCATTAAGTGTTTTTTGGCTATTTATTATTATAGTATTTTGGTTGTTAAAGTTAATTATTAATTGATAATAATAATAATAACGATACATCCAACTTACCATTAGGTCAACTACGACGTATATATATATATAATATCGTTAAGATAATACTCAAAGTAATGATAGAAAGAATTGAATCTGTTTAAAAATTGAATGGAATCATATTTATTGTTACAGGATCTTGTGGAAATTGTTAAATTTACTAATCCATATCAAAGATTAATCTCAATTAGACAACCATTCAAAACCAAGATGGATTAAACTGCTGTTTTGTCTTAGTATGGAGCCACTCATCAGTGTACATACACGGCTATGCTTAAGGGATAGAACCTAGGACCTACCAGGTTTGGCGTTTAGCTCTAAGCCTTTGAACTACTGAGCCAAGATCATACATTTCACATTTATCACTTCGATTAATTCATGATAGTGAACAATTATTAACAATTATTATCTAAAAGTTCGAAATTTTATCCCATTCCGATAAGATGATGAATACACACTGTTGAAGAATCCCACACTAAGACGAAATAGCCTTCCAGTGTCTTCAGGTTTTTGACTCATATTTATTTGAATTTTAAAGATCATTGTAGGTTCAAGAATGTATGAATAAGGATTCACAAATTATCTCAATTATCCGATTAGATATAAATATATATTTCCTTATTCCATAGTACTTGTGAAGCTATATAAACATATCACATATCAAGAATGTGATATGTTGAAACTGATTTCTGAACATATACTAATTATTATTATTGAAAGTAACAGAATTACGAATAAATTCAGATAGTTGAAAAGATTTTCATCATTTGATAATTACATGAAAAGATCTGTAAGAAGTAGTCAGTATGAGAGTTTGAATTTATTACTCTTCAACAGAGTCTATCTGCTACCTTAAGGGAACGACATTCTTTATGGGATTCAAACCTGCACTACTCAGTTTCACTGATTCAAATGTTACTATTGAGTAATTTGAGCAACGACTGTACTTCTATAAGACTGAAATATTTACGTTAACTGGTCACTGGGTGTGTGACTAATATCATTTTTGTCTAGCCATTAGAGTTGTTCGAATTCTATCAATTTAGTCTAAGTGACCCGTTTTCCTATGAACAATGTTTCGACACTACGTGGTTGCAGGTAGTCAGCAACAAATACTATTTCTTGTAAAGTTATACCTACCGTTCAATATCATAGGGAGTTATCACTTTCGTTGGTGTGACATCCTTAAAACTGGATGATTTATTTATAAAACTCTCATTGTCGTTCTACAAAATATAATCACTACCTGCTTTAATTAGTGGTTATATTATTTTATCATTCTATATATTTGATTAAATTGAAACTAATGAAGTGAATTATTAATTGGGAAGATAGTATTAACAGGACAAATTGATTGTTGAGTTTTTGATCAAAATCATGAATCGATCAATGTGTAGACCACCATTGAAAATCTGGAATCCATAGACGGCCATTTCGTCCTAGTATGAAATTCTTCACCAATGTACATCCACGATCTCTCAGGTGGGATTCGGATCCAGGACCTTCAGTCTCACACACGAACACTTAATCTCTAGACCATTAAACTGATCGACACTCAAAAGTGCTAATATCTAACTTTAACCAGCTCATGAAATTGTGTAACCATTTTCCATTGTCTCAACCTGACATGGATTACTTACTTACTTACTTACGCTTACTACTCCTAATGGAGCATAGGCCGCTGACCAGCATTCTCCAACCCACTCTGTCCTGGGCCTTCCTTTCTAATTTCATCTAATTCTTGTTCATCTTTCTCATGTCTATTTCCATTTCCCGGCGTAATGTGTTCTTTGGTTTTCCTCTTTTCCTTTCGCCCTGAGGATTCCATGTGAGGGCTTGTCTTGTGACACAGTTGGGTGATTTCCTCAATGTGTGTCCTGTCCACTTCCAGCGCTTCTTCCTGATTTCTTCCTCCACTGGGATCTGGTTTGTTTTCTCGCACAGTTGGTTGCTGCTAATAGTGTCCGGCCAACGGATCCAAAGTATTTTGCGTAGACAACTGTTAATGAACACCCGTATCTTCTGGATGATGGCTTTCGTAGTTTTCCAGGCTTTTGCCCCATACAGTAGAATTGTCATGACATTTGTATTGAAAATCTGATATGGATTAGACACTACTAATCATAGCTTTCCACTAAAGTTTAATCTCAATAATGATTATTAACATTTTACTTGTCTGATAAACAATTCTGATAAATGAATTGAAACAACTATACTCTTTTCAATTTTGCACTGATAACCTCTTGATTACACATAACTAAGGTAAGCAAAAGTGTTTTTCCTCTTTTAAAACTGAAAAAACAATGATAGATTCAATTCTAGATAAAGGACATATATATATACAGTAGTATGATAGTTATCACATATATATTCTATAATAAAATGTGAAAATCTCTTTTCATGCTTCTTCTTCTTCTTCTTCCCCTTTTTTGTTTTATCATGTGAGAGTAAACAAGCGAATGAATATTTTGTTTTATTTTTACAAAAACATTTATGCATATTTCTAAATTCACTTGGTGTTGTTTTACTTATAACTTTCCATTGTTATTTAGGACTACAGTTGATCAGTCTTTTATTGGTATATGTGTATCCTGTACAGATTACCACGATATTAGCCTTAAATCATAAGTTTCTGTCGAAAAGATTATTATTTCAATAAAATTTGACAATAGTGATTATTTCTCTTTGTTAAGTATGTATCTGTGTATGTATAATGCAATTTGTTTTTGTTGTTTAGGGAATTTGTATTGTATATGAATCTGTGTACATGTGGGTGTATAGGTATATAATAAATACTTCAATGTTTAATTCATCTATCAGCTTGTGTGGTTATCATGTGTATTTATGCATTTTTCTACTATTATGTAATCATCAGAAGGAGTTTTGTGGAGATTTTATTAAATTCAACAGTTGAAATCATGAGTTCATTTAAGCTAGACCATCATGAAAAACCTGGAAGTACTGAACAGCCGTTTTGTCCCAGTATGAGATTCCCCAGCAGTGCGCATCCATGATCTCGCCACCCTCAATTTCATGGATTGGTTGAAGTTAGGCATTAACACCGTTGGATACTGGCTCAGTGGTCTATTATGTAATCAACAATATTAGTTTGCAATTATTTGTAATAAGTTTGTGCCAATATATACAAGTATGCAACTTTTGTTCTAGTTACATAATCATTACTCTTTG